TCCAGTCACTTCTAGATGGGTCCTTGGCTTTGTCTGAGCCCAGTAATCTTTCCCACCATCAAGTCCTATGACCCAGTAGCCATTCTCAGGACGCAGTTTGGCCTTCCCTTTTCTATGAACAGAATGAGAAGCAACCCCTAAGTCCCAATTTTCTTTTCGTCCAACTTCCACTTCCCAGTAATATTTGTCTTCAGAAAAACTGTGTGCTGCCACAATGAAGGTATGGAGGGTTAACATATCACTGTAGTAAAAAAACTTAGAAATATTTCCTGTGTCTGAAACACTTTTCCTAACTCTGGACACTTCCGGTTGTGAGGGAGCTGACTCTGGGTCGAAGACCACGTCAACTGCAAAGTAAAGAAAACGGATTTCATTAATTGGACAACGACGCCACGTTCAACAAGTTGCCATTGTACCATGTGATAAATAGAAATTTCAATTCAACATCCCATTGCTAGGGATTATCACTCAGAAGTAATCCCGTGGAGGTCAATGGGACATATTTCCTCACGATCTCCAAAGTGCCTTCCAGGAAGGTGTCTGCTGACTGGAAAAAGGATGCGCCAGAGCAGAGGAAGGCGCTTTTGAGATTGTAAAAGGCTTGAGCCAAAGTTCCTCTGGGAGGCCGTTCCTGTAGGGCAGCGGTGGTGGAAGCATCAAGATGTGTATGGGAGCAAGCAAGTGGGTGGGAGGGCAAATGGTGCTGGCAAGATGGTGGCTGGGGGAAAAGAGGTGGCAGTACAGCATACCGGTGCATATCGCCTCAAAAAAAGCACTGATGACAAATAAAAGAATCATCCATCTCTGAGGGCCTTCTGGCGGTTCCCTCATTGCGAGAAGTGAGGTTACAGGGAACCAGGCAGAAAGCCTTCTCGGTAGTGGTGCCTGCCCTGTGGAACGTCCTCCCATCAGATGTTAAGGAAATAAACAACTATCTGACTTTTAGAAGACATCTGAAAGCAGCCCTGTATAGGGAAGATTTTAATCTTTGATCTTTTCTCACGTTTAGTGTTCCGTTGGGAGCTGGCCATTATTATTATTATTATTATTATTATTATTATTAATTTATTACTAGTACTACTTTTAAGTTATGTATATTTCTCCTAATTTTTAGAATCCTATCCACTGAATTGGAGAGAACAATCATGTGGTTTTAAACAGCTAAAGTGGTGCTTCAGTTTCAGGTTAAGAACGGACCTCTGGAACAAATTAAGTACTTAACTCGAGGTACCACTGTAAGATTGCACCAACCTGCATCCAGCAATTCACTATTTCACTGTTTAACATAGTTGTTTGTTTGTTTTTGGAAGTCTGGACATTTTCTTCAGTGCTGCAGAGGAATCTCCTCCATTTTCATTTTTTTAAAAAACAAAACAAAAGCAAATTCACTTGCAGCTTTTGATGGCAAGTAAAAGCATTTCCTAGATCTTTATTGCATCCTTTTGGTACTGGAAGGATGATTACAAAGGAAGATTTGGGTTGTGCTTTACAGGATCATCTGAATAAGCGGCACAACACAAGGTGTGCAGAACTATATGATTCCCTCCCACCACTAAAGCCCATTGTCTTTGCTTGTGTACTGTGCTACTTATATGTACAAGTATGTCTATTGCAGAAGCATCATCTTCCAAAGAACATGGAGGGAGCCCTGACATGAAGCTTGCTCTGTACCTGGCTCCATATTTGGCCTTAGCAGGGGAAGGGGGGGTAGCCCCCTAAAAAAAAGATTGGGAGAACTCACAGAGCCTTAGCCCCCTGGAGTTGGAGCGTTTGGTTTATTGACTATTTTATTTAGCAGACAAGTGGTTTTCCATATTTTTTGTTTTGTTTTGTTATGGTGTTCTGTTTTGTGGTATCTCCCAATGTACCTCTGCAAATACTCAATAAAGTCTAAAAAAAGAAAGAAAAAAGTATGTTGTTCTCACGTCTGAAGGAACAGGCCTCTCTCAGAACTCTGTGAATAAAGGAATGAAGAAAAGTCATTCTTAGTAAGTAGTTCTTTTCACATAACAACCAGCAATGTTGGCACAAGCTATCCAACGAGCTGGCCCACAGCACTTCTCCACACACCACGGAGGTAATGATGATGATGATTATATATATATAGTGAATATGACGAAGGCAAGCTGTACAACTGAGGGGAATCTAGGTAGTGGCAGGTGGTGATCAAGGGAAGAACAAAATGCTCAGGCCAAGTGATCTTTAAAACTCTGTGCCAGTATCATCATTGTGGCTTAATCAAAGCCCCTTCACTAAATGAATGCCGACTACTGAGCACCTTAACCCTCCAAACTGATACCTACTTTTTTCATGTGTTTTGCCACAAACAAAGAGAAATTGAATATATGGCTATATTTTAATTGGATCAAATGGTTTTTTGAATGTGGAAACATTTTATAAGGCAAACCTTTTTCTTCCTGCAATTTTCTGTTTTCTTGTAATACTGTAGTCCTAAAAAAGAGAAATGTATATGGTTTTCATTCTAAGCAATATCACCCGCCAATCCCCTAATAGAAGGAATGATTCAGGTCCCTTGAGGTGAGTGGCACAGATATGACAGGGGGATTTCTACAAATACCATTGAGAGTGGTATAGGCATTATTTGTATATGTCTTTCGATGAACTGACTGAAAGACTATAGACTCAGCTAGATTGGTAAAGAAAAAGCGATTTGTATGCATAGTATATGCAATATAACACTGTGACACCAGATGGCGATGTTGAGTCCCATTTTTGCTAAACCGATTTCTCATTAAAAAGTTTACAATGCGCTTAACTGAAACTTGAAGCTTTTTTGATTTATCTAGATCCAGCCTGTGAGTCAAGGGGTGGGGGTGGGACAGTGTGTGTGTATGAATTCAACAGTGCTTAGTTTCCTTTTGCTGTTTGTTAATGTTGTTAATATTGTTTTGTGGATTATGAGTGCTGTCATGCTTTGTGAATTTTAGATTATGACTTCTTTGTGGTTCTGCTGTTTAATCTGTTTTGTTACGGTAGTTATTTTGTTGTTTTGTTAGTTGTTATAGAAAGTGGTTGTTTTACTGATGAGTTGTAAATTATTTTGTGTGATTTATGTTGTGATTGTGATGTTCTATTACATTATTGTTTATAAGCCACTTTGTGACTCATGTGAGTGAAAAGCAGCATAGAAATATAATGCATGAATTACATCTAACATTTAATTTAAAATCTAAAAGCTACGTGAAAAACAATGGTAACTCTGTTAGCGCATCAAAAGAAACATCCACATCTACAACTGGGCAAAACTTTCATTAGGACCAGCCAAAAAGAAATGGCAACAGCTGCAGGGTTTCTTTTGTCGCCTCAGCTGTGGACCAGAGCAGTAGACAAGGAAGTCCAAGTAAAGTAGTTACATGGCAGTTAAGAGATCTGAATAAGAAGATGCAGGAGATACTGGGGTGTCGGTCCTTAATAAGTAAAGACAGAACACCATGGAAACTGTGCATGGAGTGGGGCACTCAATCAGACTTAGCTTATTCTCTCACTACCAACAGAGAGTCACAGAGGAGTTGATCAAGGCTATATTCAGCAGGGGACAGTGTTTCCATTCAGCTATAATGATTGTTAGCAGCGAACAGTCCAGCAAGCACGGTTATCAGTTCAATTGAGCTTTATTTACAAGCATATTCATAGAGCTGCTCTCGCACACATCCACCACACATCAAAGATGTTCGCATCTGAGTCTTTCTGGTTATGTTTCCAACAAGATCTGTGCCAAAACCTCTTAAGTCTGCCTCTGTGTTTACGTTCTTCCTATTGGTGTTTCCAACATTGGGACTTCGAACTGAGAGTGTTAATTGATTCTCCATCACTGTCACTAGAGAGTGGTTCTGGCGTCACCCAACCCCTTGGCAGACTGTCTTTGTCTGGGCTCTCTTCCAGCCCTCCCCTTCCCATTGATAAGGGAGTGCCAGGTCTAGAAACGGGGTGTCATTTCGAAAAGACAAGCCTCCTGGCTCTTCTGCCGGCTGTCTTTCCTCTCCTACCTCGTCTCCTGCCTCATTTGCTGGGTCCTGGAGAGCCAGGTTTCTGACATCAGCCCCTAACTCACAAATCAGTTACAGGGAAGTGCTTGGAACGCTCCACCCTAGACAATGTCCTGTGTTTAATGTTTGGCTCAGACTGGCAGAAAATGCTTCATAGCACAGGGATAATCTTGATGGTTTATTTTTTAATACAAAAATGACAAAGGCAAGCTACAAAACTGAGGGAAAGCTAGGCAATGGCAGATGGTGATTGAGGGAAGACTAAAACCTTCAGGCCCAGCGATCTTTAAAACTCTGTGTTGGTGTCATCATTGTGGCTTAATCTAAGGCCCCTAACTAACGGAATGCCTGCCAATGTGCACCTTAACCCTCCAATCTAATACCTACTTCTTTCATGTGTTTTTTTCCACAAAGAAAGAGAAATGGAATATGTGGTTATATTTTAATTGGATCAAATGGTTGTTTAAAAAAAGAAACATTTTATAAGACATACCTTTTTCCTCCTGCAATTTTCTGTTTTCTTTTAATTGTTCTAAAAAGAGAACTGCAAACAGTGAAAAGCATATGGTTTTCATTCTAAGCAATATGGCCTGCAATCCCCTAATAGAAATCCCCTAATAGAGAGAATGATCCAGGTCCCTTAGGGTTAGTGGCATGCCTAACAGGAGGGATTTGCCTGACAGAGAGGGTTGCTTCCCCTGCTGACAGCAATCATTAGCTGCAGACACAGGACAGGCAGACATCTAGTCTGTCTTTGAATCTCCTATACTATAAGTGGTTCTCTCTCTCTCTGGTGTTCTGTTTTGTGGAATCTCCTATTGTACCGCTACAATAACTTAATAAAGGTTAAAAAGAAAGAAAGTCTACCTTGTTTTCATGTGTTTCAAAGTACAACTATGCAGAACACAACGTGTTTTGTCACAAACAAAAGAGAAATGAAATATAGGGTTATATTTTAATCGGATCAAATGGTTGTTTGAAAGCAGAAACATTTTATAAGACATACCTTTTTTCTTCCTGCAATGTTCTGTTTTCTGGAAATAGTCCTAAAAAACAGAAATACCGTACATATGGTTTTCATTCTAAGCAATATGGCCCACCAATCTCCTAACAGAGGGAACGATCCAGGTCTCTTGGAGTGAGTGGCCTGCCTACAGCAGGGATTTGGCTGACTGAGGGACTTTCCACAAATACCATTTAGAGTGGCATAATTGCTGGGTGTACACAAGCACCATCCTGCTTTAAGTGTGGAGGGGGTTGATGGTGTGATTCTGGAGACATTGTTTCACACCACTTCCCTCTGATCAGTAGAGCTAATCAAGTCTCCATTCAGCACGGGGCATTGTTTCTATTCAGTCCCTAACCCACAAATCAGTTACAGGGAGGTGCTTGGACCACCTACCTGCACCCCAGATAATGTCCCAGGCTTAATGTGGGGCTCAGGCTGGCAGAAAATGCCTCTTGGTTATCAAAGGGGTAATCTTGATGGTTCATATTTCTCCTTTTAAATACCAAAATTGAATATGTGGTCGTGTTTTCAGTTGATCAAATGGTTGTTTACAAGCAGACAGATTTTACAAGACATACCTTCTTCTTCTTCCTTTATTTCCACTTTTTCTTCTTTAGCACTCTGCTCTTCATTCCGTGAGAGAGTTTCCTTTTCTCTGGCACCTTGAGATGTGGAGCGGGGGTCGGGGGGAATCACAAGGAAGTCCAATTTAGCTTGGCTTCTAAGGGCACCACCAGAATAGAATACCCTAATGGATTTTTGTAATTGCAACCAACTACGGAATATAGAGCTATAGGACTCTACAGTAAAAGTCCCAAGGCAAGGATGTAGGCGTGGATAAATTCTGTGGATTGGGATAGTCTACTTGTGCCTGTTCAGATATTGCTGGACTCTAGCCTCAGCCAGCATCATCAGGGATAATGGGAATTGTAATCGAGCTACAGTACTGTTAAAATCACAGATTAGTCATCTGTGCTATAAGCCATTTGAGGGGGATTGTACCCTCTGTTGGATTGTTTTTGTACATATGCAGACCTTGTGCAGAGGTCTGAGTATATTTCAGCAGATCTAGGGGAACATGACTGGTTTGGCCACACTGGGCACAGAGCTTCTGGGACACTGCAGCATGTGACACAACTATGAAGTCCTACAGAAGGCCGGATTTGGGCGTCACATGGGAGACCACTGAAATGTGAAAAGCCAGGGTCCACCATTGCCTTGTAATTACTCTGAGCATGTAGATAAATCTCTCTTGGGTCTCTGCTATAGCTGCAATCTTATCTGCACTCATAGGAGCCAACTCCTAGGGGCTGAGGGCTCTTTGCACCCCCAAAATTGATGGGCATTGCCATGCAAATGGTGTGTATACACTGTGTCTTGTGATCAGTTATGTGGAGAGGGGCTTACCTGGGGCCCCCAATATTTTATGCAAGTTGGCCCCACTGTCTGCACTCCACTCCTCACATGAATTCACTATTAGAGAGAGTGATTTATACGGTACCTTTGTGTATGACTGCCCAAACAGTGACTGCAAGAGCGAGAAGAGCGAGAAGAAGAAAGACAAACATCACCCAAAAGGCAGTGCAGGAACAATAATTCTCTGAGGTACTGTTGCCTGAAAGAAAGAAATGGCAGAGAATAAGGGATGCCTTTTTACATGCTATGATAGTCAGACAATCAGGCAGTATGATTAATCAACTGAAAACCTTTCCATTGATTAAAAATAGGTTCCTACTTGATCAGGCAGCAGATATTTTAAAAATGTTAACCATTTTAAATGGAACCACTTGAGTTCTGAGATTTTTGAAGTCATTGACATCTCTCCAGGGACTCAGTATCAGTCGTGGCAGCAGGAACTCATGGAGGACAATGGAGAGGACTCTGCTAACACATTATTCAGAAGTTCAGCCAGGTCCTTTCTTTGCTGATTAGATTATGATGTCGCAAAGAGAGTAGTTGGAAATATAGTTGTAAGGGGGCCTGTTTTCCTTTGTTATCCCCCCTCCCATGCCCACATGAACCAACCAAAAAAGATAAAATACATTGTGCCACTTTATAAGCATAGATGTAAATTTGGAACTAACTGCTAAAATTTAATCAGAAATAGTATCCAATTCACCCTAGTGAATAGGTGACCCAGGTTCCTGCTCAGTTTGCTGAGCAGTCACTAACTGTTAATGATCAAATTCAAGGCCATTGTTTTCCCTCTAATGGCTCTTCATCTTTAAACCAGTCTTGGACTGGGAAGCTTTTCAAAGAGGGGGTGCCTTCAAATAGGACTGCCTTCATGAAGGAGAGGTCATCTCTAGTGATTAAAGGTAAAGGTAAAGGGACCCCTGACCATTAGGTCCAGTCGTGACCGACTCTGGGGTTGCGGCTCTCATCTCGCTTTACTGGCCGAGGGAGCCGGCGTACAGCTTCCGGGTCATGTGGCCAGCATGACTAAGCCACTTCTGGTGAACCAGAGCAGCGCATGGAAACACCATTTACCTTCCTACCAGAGTGGTACCTATTTATCTACTTGCACTTTAACGTGCTTTCGAACTGCTAGGTTAGCAGGAGCAGGGACTGAGCAACGGGAGCTCACCCCGTTGCGGGGATTCGAACTGCCAACCTTCTGACTGGCAAGTCCTAGGCTCTGTGGTTTAACCCACAGCACCACCCGTGTCCCTTCTCTAGTGATTACTGTAGCTTTAAATGTTACACCACAAATGCAAAAGTTAGGCCTGAGCTATTTCCTTTGTGCCCGTCCTACGTTGTGATTCATACCTTTTGAAGATTCAACAACCAGAACAGTTTGGGTCTGAGCACCCCAGTCTTTGGTCTTGACAATGCAGCTGTAGCTTCCTTCATCAGACTTTTTGGCCATTTTCAGCACCAAGGAAACATTTCCAGTGTCCAGTCCCTCTGTGGCAAACACTGCCCTGGACTCATAGCCTTGCCCAAATGTTTCCTGGCCAGTGAAAGCTGTGAACTGGTAGATGTTCTCCGTGTTGTCATCTACAGTTTTTTTCCACTGAACTTCCACGTTTTGTGGCAGAGCCCCAGAAGAGCTCTGGCATGGCAAGATGACATCTTGCCCCACATACCCAATGACAAATAGGGCAGAGTTCAGTTCAAAATGGTCTGGGGAAAAAATCACAAATATTAAAGGCAACAACAGCACCACCAAGTCTGAGGTTGAAACGTTTCCCCAAATGGTACATCTCGGGGTTTGGATTCCCTACAGAAAGGGCAAATATTTTCCCTCTACATGACTTTGTGTACATGGAGGTGAGCTTGGGGAATATCCTGATTGAGAGGAACAGGCAGCCTTTACAAGGATCTCACTGGATGAATGGGCCAGACTTGTCTACAGATGTTTGGTGCACTGGCACTGAATACCATTTTTAAGGTTCATTTTGAGGTTATTTGCTGATGGCTACACTATCTGATTATCGCTATTGGGGAAGGTATGAATTAAACGGCCTCGGCCCAGTATACCTGAAGGAGTGTCTTCACCCCCATCATTTAGCCTGGACACTGAGGTCCAGCTCTGAGGGCCTTCTGGCGGTTCCCTCACTGCAAGAAGTGAAGTTACAGGAAACCAGGCAGAGGGCCTTCTTGGTAGTGGTGCCCACCCTGTGGAACACCCTCCTGTGAGATGTCAAGGAAATAAGCAACTATCTGACTTTTAGAAGACATCTGAAAGCAGCCCTGTATAGGGAAGATTTTAATCTTTGATGTTTTATCGTGTTCTAAATATTCTGTTGGGTGCCGCCCAGAGTGGCTGGGGAAAACCAGCCAGATGGGCAGGGAAATAATAATAATAATAATAATAATAATAATAATAATAATAATAATAATAATAATTTATTATTAGAGTTCCAGTATTTACAGTATAGACTCTCTTCAGCTGGCTCTTTTGGCCTATTTGCACTCTTTGTCAAACCAGCTGGAAGATCCCAGCGATCTTTGTGCGCCACTACTCTTGATCTCAGTTCTCAAGTGGATTTGCAATCTGTCAGTCAAGGTCTTAAAAAAGTTCATAGCCTCAGCAGCAGAGGTAGCTGAGATGATAGAAGCAGGAAAAGCCTTTAAATCATCTGTATGAAGGAGGTGAGTGTGTGTGGCTCAATAGTGGAGAATGCAGGTCTGAGATCCAATCCTCAGCATTGGCAGGTAGAGCTGGGAGAGAACCCCGTCTGAAATTCTGGAGAGCTGCTGCCAATCAGTGCAAACAATATTGAGCTAGATGGATCAGTAGTCTGAATTCAGTACAGTGGTACCTCGGGTTACATACGCTTCAGGTTACAGACTCCGCTAACCCAGAAATATTGCCTCGGGTTAAGAACTTTGCTTCAGGATGAGAACAGAAATTGGGTGGCGGCGGCAGCAGTGGGAGGCCCCATTAGCTAAAGTGGTGCTTCAGGTTAAGAACAGTTTCAGGTTCAGAACGGACCTCCAGAACGAATTAAGTTCTTAACCCGAGGTACCACTGTATAAGGTTAGGCTGCTATCAAACAAAACTAGTTTGCTCACTGAACTCTTCTCATGCCAAAGCCTCATCTGTTACTGAGACATCCTCCTGCTTAACAGTGACTGCCCCACCTTGTCTTTGAACATTTCATTGCTTACTCCTACTTGAAATGAGAGTAAGATGTAGGGAGGCAAAAAGAATTAATTAGCTTTTCTGCAGGGCCACTGCAGCTCCTAGTTTCCCCATGAGAACCAGTCGTATACTGAGAACACAATCAAGATGGAGGCAGACACATTTCCAGATTCTGCTATGGCTTCTCCACTGTCAAGTAGGAAAGGAGAAATTGCAAAGATCCACCAATGAGAACCGCATGCGCACATTGATTTCTGTGTCACAACATGCCTAAAAGTCCTTCTTGGCTAAGTCCATGGCAACATAACATTTTGCTGCTGCTGCTTCTCTACACTTTTTACCTGATGAAGGGATCAGTGCCAGGACTACAATGTAGAAAGAACCAAGAATGAAATGGACAATTTCTTGAGGTTTATAGACCCCATCCTTCTTTAGACAGCTCCGATCTGAAATATGAGCAACAGCACCAACAAACATAATTAGGAGCAAATGCTTTGTGTTTTGAAGCCCCTCTCTGTTACATTCCCATCTACCCCAACAAATCAATACCAATCCAGGTGTCAAAGTCAAGGATAATAATATGTTTTAATTCTGTGAAGGTTTTTTTTTGCTTGTTAAAAAAACTCCCTTTTGTCAATAGCTACTTCCATGTGGAAATTCAATGAAGCAGGGATTTAGAAGTCCTTCTTGCTAATATGCACAACAAGACATGTCTCTTTACCTTGGCCTTGACACTTCAGATATTTGCTTTTGGGGCTGATCTTATTTTTCTGGCTGTAAAATGTTTTAACTGACTTTTCATAATGCATTTTTACATTGTTGAAATCTGACCTCAGACCATAGGGTAAAGTACAAGTGGGGCGGGGCGGGGGGAGTGAAGAGAAATGTAAAATAATGATTACGACAAAAGTATCAAAATCAACGACAATAATATCTGCTGGCATTCCGAGCTAGGGAGGTTTTGGATGGTGCGGGGTTTTGAAGAAGAAATCCTGTCACGCACTTTCTGAGGGGTTTTGAAGAAGAAATCCTGTCACGCACTTTCTGAGGTATTGCCGTGAAAATAAAGGACATTACCACATGAAAAATGGGGACCTAAACAAATTTTTGCAGAGCATTCCTGCCCTCTAACAGGACGGCTGCTGCTGCTTAGGAATCCAGTTAGTCTGGAGCAAGAGCCATGTAAAGCGCTTTTTTTTTTTTTGCAGTTTATAGGGCAGCTTCCAGAGTTGAAGCGAAATGGATACATTTTTATTTTCCGTCTTCCTGAAACCATGCAGTAAATAAACCTACAGGGATTAGGTTTGTAGTTGGTTGCCTCCCTCAGTCTGATTGTTTTGTTGTTATATAGTATTGGGTAGGGATGGGAGAGAAATTTGGTTTGGTTCATATTTCAATGCGAATGTACTTAATCTGCACTTGCTAAAAAGACACACAAACTGAAATGCAGCGATCCTTCAAAATTCACACTGACTCTTGTGATGCAGTTCTCCAGCCAAAATCTGTGTACAAAAATATACACATTAGGGGAAAGCGAGCACTAAAAGGTCTGGTTCTTGTTGGCCGTTAGAAAACATACTGTAATACAAACCTCTGCAAAGTACACATACCTCACACCAGTACTGAGAACTGCACATTCATCCATTGGGAAAATAACTACTTCCTGGATGCTTTCTCAAACGTAACTTCTATGTATTTTGCTGGGGAAAGAGAGAAACGAGAGAGAAAGAGAGCAATGCATTAAAATGCAGCATTTTATACAGGATAGATATGGATAGTGGCTAACATTGTGTGTAGACCACCTCCCCAACCAACAGGGGTAGTGTACTAGATGCAGAGGAAGTGGGGTGTGTGAATACAGCCCTCCCCTTTGGTATCTGTTTCAGTTCCTCCCACTAAAGAGTTGTAGGTAGCTCAAGTTCTTCAAATCTGTTCCACATATCCTCTCTTTCATTTCTTCTCTCTCTTCTACAGGCAAATTATATATAAAACTGCTTAAGAAATTCAGAAAAGGTAATTTGAGACTAGGACATAATCTAACCACATTTTTAATCCGATTTGATTTCAGGTTAGAATATCCAAGTATACACTTAATGTTCCTGCTGACAACAGTGGGGGTTATGTTAGGTCAATAATTTTGACTGTATTGTGTCTTTACATTGCGTGAATGGTGAAAAAGCTCAAGGGGATGATCATGAGAAGAAACCCCACTTGCTGACTGTGATAATGCACTTTGAATTATCCGTAAAAGCAACTATGCTGTCACACCCTTTGACAATAAATTAATATTAATTAAAAAAAATACAAGGAAGAAGTTACCTTTTCCTGGATTTAGAAGAAATCATGATCGTGATTAAAACACTCTGTCCTTGACTACCAGAAACCAAACTGCGGTTGGTGTTTGTTTCGCTTCTATTCTTGGCAGGGTGAGAGCAGGTTCAGTACTGCTGAACCTTGGCCAGAAAAAAACAGATAAAATTACAGATTAATTTAGGGGAAGGGCTGAAGCTGAGTGGCAGAGCATTTTTCTTGCAGGCAGAGTTAGCACATGCTGATTTTATGTGCCCTCTTTTGCCTCTTTTCTGGTGATGTGTAAGTAGCTACCCTACATTTCTTCTGCTTCAGTTGAGCAACCACCTCCCAGCAATAAAACGTAATGTTTGCATGAGCAGAATACTTGCCAATATGATAAATGGTGTATTGTAGAGGTAGGTTTGCTTACTGCTAAGATCACTTAAAACTTCGGTTCACTATGAAATTCCTGCTAGTAAAGACACAGGTGGGGGGTACCTCCTGACAATGCTATTTGCAAGTACAATGTTTTAACTAGAGAAAGAAAATGACAACTGCTGCAGAGAAGTTCTGCAAAAGAAGCAAATGGACTAAAACATGCAGTCTGGGCAGGGCAGAGCCCTAATTTGGAGGGTTCAAGATCTTCCCTACTCATGGGGGCATGTTTGCAGGCATCGCTGCTGGTATAAGAGAAAAGCATTGGAAGGAAGCCTTGCTCCGAGGTCATAGATGAGAAAGGCATTGCAAAGAAGCCTTGCTCCGAGCACCTTGTGTATATGAACATGCCCAGTGTCCTGTGGCCCGGCTGTGCTGATGTTCACCTCAGCATGCAAGCCAATAATAAGAGTACCACCAATGATACCTAAAAAGTGTAGGCTGGCCAAGAGTGCCTTTAACCCAATATGACCTCAATTGATCACCCCATCACTCCATCCAGTTCATGTCTCCTATAAATAAAACCAAATCAAAACAGCCCTCTGCAGATCCTCAAGAAATAAGTCACAGCCTGCCTTGGACAGGTGGATCCCATCATCCTGAAAAATGGTGGGGAAGATCAACGTGGATCCTGCCATGAGGAATGTACCCCAAACAAAGTCCTTAATCAGGCAATTCACCTTCCTGCGGGCCCTATTGTCCTTGATTGATTGGTAGGTGTGCCTCTTGCCACACACAAGGCTCCAAGAATTCAGACCAAACCAAGGAAAGAAAGTATGGATCCAGCAAAGATCCTTCGTAACTCTCGCTAGGATGTTAATTCCTGTCCATTGGATGAAATACTTCTCACCCAAATGGATGTGTAAGATGTGGGGGAAGGACCCAGCCACCTCAAGGTGAGAAAATGTGGCCAGCAGCTCTCCTCAAAGCATTCTTCTCCCAGTTACATACTGGAAAGTAATATGGGCAGGCAAATGTACTGTACATACCAACAGCCGATGATGCATCCCTCCATTGCACACAGAACAAGAGAGATTGCTCTCATAGTGTAAGCTCTGGCAGTGTTAGGCAACTGGCCCAAATCTGTCTAAAGAAAGGAAAGAGTTACAGAGAGTACCTAACATGTAACTTGTAAACACTGAACATGCCATCTCTTGATGTCCTTGATAAGATCTGTAGGGATGCCCATTGAGGCACAACCTTGGCTCCAATATGGAATGAAATGCATTCCAAATAGTCACATCGTCTGGTGATATAGGGCCTGGGGCAACACTGCCCCAAACTGAAACTGCATCAGTGCTGAGGAATCCTGATTAACCAAAAGATAAATGTGTCCCATAGGCCTATTGGCCAAATAAGCCATGAGGGCCATCATGGGCCCTATGTACAAATGGGCAACTATCAAGTATGACCTTGGTGCCAAAGCCTTGCTGGTCCATCATGAAGCACTTCAACACTATGTGCCTCCATCCACCTGTGACAGGAACATCCCTAAACAGCAAGACCTGCAGGAGGAGTCTCACTGGGATGGAGGGAGCAGCTCACGTAGCCGGATTTTAAGAGGAAGCTTACCTGTCTGTCAGGTAGTTTCTCATTTCAGGCTCATGTCAATGTGCTTTTTACTATGTTTTTATCATTGATGTTCTGTAATGTATTTTTAATGTTTTAATGTTGTACACCACCCTGGGATCTTTAGATAAAGGGTGGTATATAAATTGAACAAATAATTAATTAATAGTAATAATAACAATACCTAAATCTCACTAATTACATGGATTAGGAGAAAGTATGAAAGTTGTGTTGGCAAAATCCTCAGAAGGGGAACAGTAAAAAACAAACAAACTTCAGAATGTATTTTAGGCTGATTGTAGAACTGACCACATTGCTACAGCATAACATTTATTTTGGGACATTCGCTCATTTTTTCTCTTCCTTTGCGGTTTTCGTTAACGTACTGTTTAACCCATTAGCATAATAATTTTTTTAATAGCTTGTGCAAACACATACTATCCAGACTCATCTCTGCCTGTAATGTGGTCACTATGTCTGCAGAGAAGGGTATCTGCTCTTGCACTCTGCTTCAGCTTGTGGGCTTCAAACATGTATCTTGCGGTTGGACACAGTGAGAACAGAAAGCTAGGCTAGAAATGCCTTTGGTTTGATCCAGCAATGCTCTTTTTATGTATCTGTACATGACCTAAAGGCTATATAACAGTTCTTGAAAAAGGAACGCTAACAGCTACATAAATTGAACAATTATGATGAAGTTGAAAGAAACTCCATGTGGCATTGGATGGAAGAGTCTCAACTTCTTCAGTGGTGCTTTCTCAGGTGGACTCGGCAGAATTTCCAAAGATGCTTTTAGAAAACCTAGTTTTACAAGATAAACCCAAGCTGTGATTTAATGCCTCATATTTTCTCCCTCACCTCAGCATACACACAGACTTGTAACAGGTGGTCCAAGCAGGCTGAAAGTCTGGGTGTTCTTAATAAGGCCACAGTTGCCTTCTCTTCCAGGGAGAAAAATATGGTTGCTGCCATCATTATGCCCCCTTTCCATTATGTGCTTGAGAGAACAACAGTGTTTTCACCTGGGATCTAAGAGTTAGAAGATCTGGTGCTAGTCAAGTTTCACCGAGAAGGGACATTCAACCAGGGATGCCTAGCAGGATTTCCTGGGCTGAGTACCACTGCCACACAAGCATGAGTGTAGCCATGATGGGTGTAGCATGGGGTTTGGGGTGGCAGAACCTGAGTTAGTTAAGTATTTTTTATTGATTTACTTGATTTGGAGCTACTTCTATATACATACAGATCCTCCAAGAGTCCCTATTTTCCAGGGATGTCCCTTATTTAGAGAAGCCATCCCAGTTTCTGATTCGATCCTGGAATGTCCTGCTTTTCCTTAGGATGTCCCTATTTTCATTAGAGAAATGTTGGAGGGGATGGAGTTATACAACCCCCGAGCTGTCTGAAGGAAATCCCATGTAGGGAAGTTTTTAATGTTTAATGTTTGATTATGTTTTTATATATGTTGGAAGCAGCTGGGGCAACCCAGTAAGATGTGGGGTATAAATAGTAAAATTATAATTGTGGAATGGGACATCCCTATTTTCATTGGAGAAATGTTGGAGGGTATGTACGTATATAAACTTAGGAAAGCCTGCCTGTTGCAATGATAAAAGGGAGAGGGGAGAATGATTCATAAACCTTGAGCTCCTGGGTGGAAAAACAAGACATTCTGAGCACATGCAACTTCACAACTCTTAGCAGAACGCACTCAATATTTTGCCCTCATTGAGTAACAGAAAAGTATCATTGTTTATAAGAATTTTAACTTTATGCCCCTGTAATTTGTTCTATGATTTTATGGTTGTCTCTGCTGACAACCCCCCCCCCCAACTTGTCACTCTGTATTAATACACCACAGTCCACTGATAACCAACTAACTAGTAGCCGCTGTGTGGAGGACATGCAAGGGTAAAGTGGTGTACTACAATATTAACATTTCCCTTTGATTTCTTTCAAGAGTGTTATTGTTGAGTGAAACATTCAAAGCCAGCTAATTCTATTTTACACTGCAAAGGGTGCACACTTGGGGAGTGAATGGAATAATGTGAACAGTAATTAAAAAGACATACACAGGGCAGACTCTCGTCTTCAATGCAGCCTCAGGCTACCAAGAACAGCAAAGGTGCTTCTGGCGCCTTCATTATACAGTGGTATCTCAGGTTAAGAACTTAATTCGTTCAGGAGGTCTGTTCTTAACCTGAAACTGTTCTTAATCTGAGGTACCACTTTAGCTAATGGGGCCTCCCGCTGCTGCTGTGCTGCCGCCAAGCGATTTCTGTTCTCATCCTGAAGCAAAGTTCTTAACCCGAGGTACTATTTCTGGGTTAGCAGAGTCTGTAACCCAAAGCGTCTGTAACCTGAGGTACCACTATACAGCTTCAAGCAAATGCTGAATACTCATTTCTTTATCCTGGTCTTTGACATTTGAGGTGTATATTTTTAGGAACTGCCTCATTTTTGTGGTTGTAAGTGGTTTTAAACTGTTTTTCATGTTGTTGTTTTTAAACTTGTAACCCATCCTGTGACCTTAGGGTGAAGGCGCTGGTCAACAACAACAACAACAACAACAACAAAATAAATAAATAAATAAATGTTATATTTGTCATTGTGGTGTTACATTAGTCACAAGAAATACTGTTTGTAAAACACATCTCACCACATTTTCTTAATGCTAAGAACCTAAAAGAATGTAATAAGGTTAAAACATATAGATTTCTCTTTTCATTTTTGGGGGTGAAATTTTTAATTATTATTTCGTTTTTATAAAATATATAAAAAAGAGAAGACAATGGTAATGAGAAGAAAACTAACAAATAAGAAACATAACTATAAAATAGGCATGTAGAATGAGTAGTTGCGCATGAGTTAAAATAACAAAGTACAAGGAAAGAATATCCACGTTATTGGATCATCAAGTATAGTTCCAAATTTGACGACATTTGTCTTGAAAATAAGCACAACCGGACGCCTTCATCTGCCCCAACTGCAACAAAACACGTCTCTCCCGTGTCAGTCTCTACAGCCATAGCAGATACTGTAACTCTCCAGCGGTTTGACCTCAACCCTGAAGGCACACCCTTCGATTGTCTTTTGAGACAGATGGTTGTAAAATACCTTTAAATATAACATGTATTGAATTCCTCTCCCAACTCTTATGATGGTAGAAGGAAATTTAGGAAAAAGGAAATGAACGTACTTTATCCCAGTTTAACTTAATGTCGTATCAGCTTCTTTTGTATAGAATTTAGAAAATCCTTTTATAAGAAACACACACACACACACACACACACACACTCTTGAAAAAATTCTAGTGCAAGGACCCCGAAAACTCCATGCACAATTTTGATCACTGTTTCTCAGACAAGGACTTTCTAAATTATCTCAGGCAGGAGAATATTCCAAGGACTAAGGTATTTATATATGACTCTATTAATCTCCATCTTAAAAACACATAGCATAAATAACCACAAGCAAATGTGTTTGTTGTGATTCCATATATAGAGAGATGACTTAAAATAGCTACCTCAGATTAAGGTTGAGGCTAAGAATGCCATTGTTGCCCAGAAATGAAGCCAATGAATCCTGCCTCAAACTGTGTGTGAAATTGGATTAAGTGAAAATTCTTACCCACAAATTCACAGGCTCATTATCAGGCAGTGAATTCAGGCAGCGGGGGGATTAGGTGTCTCTCTCTGTGTGTGCAAAAATCTTTGCAAGATTTGAGGGCTCCCCACTGGAAGTAAAAGTATTTCAATAGTTTTTTATTTTAAAAAAACCCTTTATTCTTCTTTGCGGTCTTTGCAGTTCCATTTAAGAGTTCAGTGACTGTGTAGCTCAAAATTTTGAAATGTTCTGTAGCTAGACATCAAAACATATTTAGACAACCAAAAAAAAGAGAAAATGCTTAGTACACAGATGTAGTGGGGAGGGGGGACTTCAATAACTTTCTGTGTCTAATTTATTTTTTTGATTTACAACAAATCTACAATTCAACCCACAACAATAATGCATGGTTTGTTTGTTTGTTTTATTTGTTTACATTTTCATTTTTACAATTGTTATTGCATAGATTTTACATTGTGTGTTAAAGGGCATTTCAGGAAGAAGAGCTCCTAAATGGCAAAGTCAAGCGTCAATAACATTTTGGATGTTCATTGTTGTTTCTCTTTAATAGTAAGATGCCTGGGAAAGAAGAGCCTTTGCAAAGATAGAAAGAGGTGCCCAATTTTTCTGAGGGCTGATGGGCCATTGACAGCTGGTTGGCGTGATGGATTCAGCGTATGGGCTGCAGGTTCCAACCCGTGGTTTAATTATTCTGTGAATCAACTCTCATATAGATTTTGAAACTTTTATTGATGCATTTGCAAGCCTGCAGCCTACAGCCTGAAGCAGGAGTTCTAGACACTTAAGTGCTTTTACTTGGTCTCTTCATTAGCTGTTCCCTGTTATTCATCTCTGGCTTCATGACAATAATATAGCATTTGGGGAAGAAGATGCAGCCTAGCAGCCCAGCACTGGAACCTAAGATAGAGAAAATCTCCACAGCTACCATGTATTTCCCTTTGGTGCTCAAGTAAGAGGGAACAAAGGACAGCCAAACACTGCAAAACACCAACATGCTGAAAGTGATGAATTTGGCTTCATTGAAACTGTCAGGCAGTTTCCTGGCTAGGAAAGCCACCACCAAACTGACAATGGCCAGGAAACCCAGGTACCCAAGCACAGAATAAAACAGAATAGGTGCCCCTTCATTACATTCAAGTACAATTTCTTCACTCATAGAGTGCATATCGACATCTGGGAATGGTGGGGAGGTTGCCAGCCACACCGTACAGATGCCTGCTTGGATAAGGGAGCAAGAAAGAACAATGGAGTTGGCCAGTCTTTTCCCTACCCATTTTCTCATACTGGATCCTGGTTTGGTGGCCATGAAAGCCAGAACCACAGTGATGGTTTTGGCCAGCACACAGGAAACAGCCACTGAGAAGATGATGCCAAAAGCCGTTTGTCGGAGGAGGCATGTCACCGTATGAGGCTGTCCAATGAAGAGCAACGCACAGAGGAAGCAGAGCAGGAGGGAGACGAGGAGAGTGTAGGTGAGGTTTCGGTTGTTGGCTATGACTATGGGTGTGTCTTGGTGCTTCACAAATGTTGCTAGTACCAGCACTGTGATTAAAGAAAAGGAAAGAGAAAAAATGGCTAAATTGATTCCCAAAGGTTCCTCATATGACAAAAAGCTTATATCCATAGGAATGCATGAATCATGTTTTTTGCCTGGATAGTGGTCTTCTGGGCATTTAATGCAGTCAGCCATGTCTGAAACAAAAGAAAATTTGTGGATTTGGTTTTTCAAATCTTCATTTCATACCCTATTTTAGAAAAAACTAATGGTTATCTTTTGCCAAATACTCATTTTCTTTTTTAAAAACAAAACAAAAAAGAATCAGAGGTTCTCGAAGAGGCTTTCCATTCTCTCTCTCTCTCTCTCTCTCTCTCTCTCTCTCTCTCTCTCTCTCACCCACCCCCAAAACCAATTATTGAAAGGGTATTTGAATATTACAAGAATTACCTATCAAATATGGATGTGTGTTTAGAATTATGATGCCAGTCAAAAGCATTTCTTTTCAGATTGGGTCAATTTCAGTAATTCTCCTCTCCCCACCTCTTCTGCACATAGCATTTCTTACCATTCTGGTCTGAAATCTTCCCTTCTGGGCATGGGGCACAGTCGTAGCAACAAAATGGTTCCCCCTCCTTCTTTTTCCTGCTGTAACCAGGATGGCAATAGTCATTACACACAGAGAGGGGCAGCACCTATTAAACGATGGAAGAGGAAATTATTTTCCAATCAAGAAATGTGCTTGGGGAATTTGTGTCTCATTGGGATGGAAATGGCCTTAAACATGTGACAGTGGTAGCTTTGAAGTTCCAGAAAGCACACAGGATGCCAGGGACAGGCTCTGCTTTTCTAAGGGTGATCAGTTGTATAGAATTGCAGTGCTTTGACCAGGTTTTAAATTGCTGGTGCAATAATTTTTTTTGAACCTTAACTCTGTCTCCACTGAGATGAAATAAAAATAATTATATGTGTTTCCAAGATCAGGGATAGTTAACCTCTGGTCTTCCAGGTGCTGTAAGACTACAGCTCCCACTGTATTTGTCATGCTGGCTGGGCTGAAGAGAATCAGAGTCCTGTAACATATGGAAGGCCACTATTTAGCCAACCCTGCCATTTATTTTCGTTCTTTAAAAGTGATAATTCATACCCTCCCACTTTAGGGAGTTTCTGTTTCTTACTCAGGATGGGCAAGTGCACAGGATCCAGGAAAAAACTTTAAGCAACCTCACTTACTACAGTAGTGAATCCATTGTTCTACTTTAAATTGTGAAGTCTTTATTTTGAACAGTTCAGAGAAGCTATCGCTCCATGAAATTCAAGTTAGACTTCCATAATTTTACTCAGCAACAGGTTGACATAGGGGAATAAACCAGGCCTCACAAAGTGATGAATATAGCACACTGATGTCTGTGATTTTCTGGTGCATATGTACATAAAATTGTATGTCTATTTAAAAGTAGAGTAATTAAGGCAAATATATGTGTAAGAATATTAGAGGAATTAATGTTAGGGAGGGATTGGTGAGAATGTCCTTGGAATGTAGGTAGTGAGTGGTGATTGGATGAGAGTTTGGTAAGGCTCCAAGGCACGTTCCCCCATTCAGCAGAGAATCCAGCACAGGGAAGTGATGAGATTTATGGCTACATCGCTATGCTTTATTTCTTACTACACAGACAGCAAAGAAATATACATCCTGTCTCTATGAAAGCAGAGAGCAACTGAACAACAAAGGAACAAAGGAAACAGGAAACCAGTACGTCACATCCGTCTCTGTCTCCCGTGAGACTTCCAATAGCCTGGACTGTCTCTGGAATGTAAACAGAGCCTTGTGACTCTAAGCAGTTGCTCAGTGGCAAACAGAAACTAACATGGTTGTGGATGTGAAAGTTGGTGGTGGATGTGTTAGATCAGGCATAGGCAAACTTCGGCCCTCAGATGTTTGAGACTACAATTCCTATCATCCCTGACCACTGGTCCTGCTAGCTAGGTATGATGGGAATTGTAGTTCCAAAACATCTGGAGGCTCGGAGTTTGCCCAAGCCTGTGTTAAATGGTAGCATTGTTGGTTCAGTATTGTGTTAGCCATTGTTGTAGGCATAACAAAGTAGCAAATTAGATAAAGCAAAACTGAAATGATATGCTTTTGTACACAAAGAGATCATAAAACCCTTTTTATTATTTCTGTTTTATATAATTGTATTGCACCACATGCCTCTTTTTTGGCTGTTAGGGTGGGATATTCAGGTACTTACAGAGCAGGAATAAAGGGAGATTGCAGAAACACACATAAAAACCCCCAGCCCAGAGCTCTGAATCTTACGAAGAGTAGGCAAGTTGTGGGTTGTGCCAGAGCACAAGAAGTTGAAGAGGGGTGCAGGAGGGTGCGGGGGGGGCATGCCAGATAGCTTTGACAGGTTGAAGTTGGAGGTAGAGGAATGGTGAGACAAGGGAAGAATGTTCAGTAAAAAAATCTCCACTTATGTTAGGTGTAAAGACTAATTAAACACCACTTTGACCTCTCAATCTGGCCCAAACAATTTATACTGAGACCCTACCTGATTAAACCAGGTGTGCCAAGTGATGACATCATCCCTAATGGTGAATGCTTCCTCTGGAGGAAGCAGGGAATCCATCTTTCCAACTTCAACTTTGCGAAAGGATTGGTTTGGGAAAAAGACCCAGTTTATGACATCAAATCCAGCCACCGAGTCCCCATTGTGGTCAAAGGAAACCTCATATCCAGCACTATTGTTAAAAGAGACACGTCTGAGAAAATGATGCAGCTGGTTGGAAAAAAGAAAAGAAACAGAACCATTTTATTTTCAAAGCACAAAGGGCTGCAACTTTGGCTCTGAGAAATGCTAATGACTGCCCTTGCAGAAGATATCAAGTAACTATTTAATTACATCACACTAATCAAGAGAGCAGTGGAGTTCCATCCATCCTTATCGTTCACAAAACTTTTGCTTTTACCCTGGAAAAATATTACAGATGTTCTGCTCCTGCTTCATGATGGCCTGCACCCCAAAGGGATGGGATCTTGCTCTCCTTTTTCTGGTTCCTGAGCTGAACTCTCTGTTCACTGTGCTTTCATTAGAGCCATTTTTATAAGTTTATCCCTAACCTCCCTCCCCCAACCCTGGCCAAGATATAACACTTTTTAATGTGGCTGTTTCACTTTGCTGCTATGTAAGGGGACACTTCCCTTGTTATTATTTGAATTCCATCATTATAATTTCTAATACAGTAGTTAATAAATAAAAGCGCACATACTTATCAATTAGATGGCTTTGTGCTACTTCCACTATAACTTTTTTTAAAACAACAACAACAACAACATATTTTTAATTACAGTGGTACCTTGGGTTAAGTACTTAATTCGTTCTGGAGGTCTGTTTGGAACCTGAAACTGTTCTTAACCTGAAGCACCACTTTAGCTAATGGGGCCTCCTGCCGCCGCACCGCCAGAGCACGATTTTTTTCTCATACTGAAGCAAAGTTCTTAACCCGAGGTAATATTTCTGGGTTAGCAGAGTCTGTAACCTGAAGCATATGTAACCTGAAGCGTATGTAACCCGAGGTACCACTGTATAGATTTCCTGGTTTACAAAGTATGTGCAATGTCTCTTTTTTCAAGTTACGTTTTCTACAGATCAGTTTCATTTGTTGAGACATTAGTGTTACCTTAGGAAGAAAAGGGGAAAAGAGTTGTGTGTGGGGGGGAATAGTGAGTGGGGGTGGGATCGGGTGGCAATGCTTCTATTCTGCTTAATGTATGTGTGGGGTTTTGTGTCAGAGTCGCTTGTGCGGGTTCTCTTTGCTATTCGCTTGTGCTCCTTTGGTGCTGAGAGAGGTTGGCGTTGGCCTAGGGTGTGGTTGTTTGTTTGTAGTTGGCTGTGGTGAACTTTGTTTTCATGTGCAAGTGGGGTGGGTGAGCGTTTTTGAATCAGGTTAGCCATATTGATTCGTATGCTGTTAGTGGATTCTTTTCATTGTCTTGTTGGGCTGTGTTTGTGATAAAGGGGAACCATACCGGGGTGAAGGCGTCTTCTTCTATTTGTCCTCGTATCTGTTTCAGTTTATTGATTAGTTTTTCTAATAAGGCTGTTTCCCATACTATTTTGTACCATTGGTCCATGCTTACTCCTGACAGATCTCTCCAGTGTCTGGCTATGATGTTTCTGGCTGCTAAGAGTAGGTGGGTTATAAGCTCTTTATGATGTGAGTGGGCATTATTATCTTGGAAAATGTTTAATAGGGCCAGTTCTGGGGTGACTTGCTTAGTTATTTTGCATATTTCTTGTATGATTGTTGTCCAGAATAGTTGGATTTTGGGTCATTCCCACCACATGTGGAGGCATGTGCCTGTGGCACTATCTCCAGCATTTTGGTGAGGTTCCTAGGCTTATTAGCACTAGTTTCCTTTGTGTTAGGTACTACTTTTGCTATAACTATAAATACCAGTTGCTGGCAATTACCAGTGGAGAGACCACTGTTGCCCTCAAGTTCTCCTTGTGGGCTTCTCATATGCACCTGCCTGACTGTTGTGAGACTAGAGTGCTAGACTAAATGGGCCTTTGGTCTGATCCAGCAGATGTCTCCTTATCATAGCCATCTTCAAATAGCTAAAGGGCTGTTGCATGGAAAATGGAACAAGCTTGTTTTCTCCTGCTCTGGAGGCGTGGACCCGAATTGATTGCTTCAAGTTTCAAGAAAGGAGATTCCAACTAAACACCAGGAAGAACTTTCTGACAGTAATAGCTGTTCAACAGTGGAACTGACTCCTTTGGGAGGTTATGGACTCTCCCTTCATTGGAGGTTTTTTAAAGTCATCTGTCAGGGATGCTTTAGCTAAGATTCCTGCATTACAGTATCCCCACCACAGCTATAGGCTAATAAAAACAGAAGATAGGAAAGATGCTCTTCAATACGTGAATTATTGTGGCCATCCCACCTTGCTTTTGGGAAGAGAAAGGAAGCTCATATTGAATACCCCTTAAGCATCCTGATTTGAGCAGGACATCCCAGATTACAGAAGCCATCTCAGTTTGGACTCCTGCAAGAACTCAGGACCAAAAAAACAAGCATTCCAATTTTGATCCATGGGATGTTGGAGGGTATGATATTTTGAGTGAATGAAATAACCATGAAGAGACGCTAGTCTACAAACAGTAGAGTGTGTTGTTTCCACCTGTAAATACTAGATAATTCATGATATTCTTACCTGCCATAGTTGTTCATTTGGAAGTGTCAGGCTCCCTCTATCCACCATTGCTTTGTGTTTTGATTTTAGAGAATGCATGGCTTGCAAAGCATGTGCTATAGCATAGACTGCATTGTAGATATTGTAACTGTGACCAGTCAAGCTCATTTCAAAAAACCCACCAGGAAGGTCGCTCAGGTTCTCCTCTCCGGTGCAGATTTCTGCTTCCATTTCACCCACCATAGAATTTGGGAATTTACATTTGAATGCATTTTGCCAGAACTCCTTGATAAAACCATCTTCTTTGGCCCTGAAAACATTTCTTCCCAGAAGAAATTGTTGAAATCTCGGGAGTATATTTGAATGACTTGCGAAGGCTATAGCACCTTGAAAGACTTCAAAATCCCATTGCGTATGAAAGTTAAAAGCTATAATATCAATTTGGGCTGACATAATCCACACTTTACCTTTAGGATTAACTGTCGCTGGGATGTATAGGAATGTTCTCCAAAGGATTATGGCCTGGATTTCTCCATAAAACACCAGTACATTCGCTTTTCTCTTCATAATAACTTCATATATTCCCTGAAGCAAGTCTGCTGTATTCAAAGCTTCAGAGATAAAAGTGAACCTAGGGAGTCTGTCGATGAAGTCAAAACAAATGCCCTTCTGTAAAAATAATGGCAGTGCAATTTGCAAAAATCTTTCTCCATCATCATCATCCACAGCAAGGATGCTAATCCAGATCCACCTGAAATGCAGAAGTAACTGCAGAATCCCCATATATTGATGGGCTTCCTTGGGGGCCATCTGGAAAGTGGGGAAAACTTGGGTTTTCTCACTCATTGCTGAAGTAGAGCCATAAGAAAGCTAATGATGAAAGTGAGGAGGAGAGAAAAAGGAAAAAGTGGTGGAGAGAGTCAGAAAAACATTAAGAATGCAAAATGAAATCTCATTCTGTGTGTGCCACTAATAATAGAGTTGTTATCTGGAACATTTTGTTCAATATTGGTTTGGATAATATGTTCAGTTTTGGTTAAGCAAAAATGGCTATGATAGCATCCAGATTCCTACTTTCATCAGCTGTTCTGGAGGAATTGAGGTGTGTGTTTGTGTACAAGCCTGAAGTTCACTTAGGCTTGTTCATGTTATGAGGAACAGGAGGGAGAACATGGGACTTGCAGTCTATCAAGTTACACAGGGGAGCTGGTCACTGCCTTATCGGTTATCTTTTTATTTCTTTGATAGTAATTGTGTCTCAATTTACATCTATACATGTAAATTGGCCCATGCACACTAATTCAAATCAGTGTCATCTTTTGTTTTTTTTCTTTTGGGGGGGGCAATGAATAAATAAGAAGAACAGAGTTTCCCATGTAGGAATGAACTATGATGACTGCTTTTCATCATTCTCATCCTGCTCATTTCATTCACTCTTGTTTCAAACCCCCATAACCAAATTGGAAAAGGCAAGCAAATGGTGAAATTTGTTAACATCCTCTTCTCTTCTTACCTGTGAAATCTTGTAGATCTGCAGGATGCTTGCAATGTGTAGAGAAGTTTCAGAGCTAAGTCCCCAACGACAGCGACCAGATTACTCTGAGTGTCACATTTGTAGTTGGGCTTAAATCTGTTCAGTGTGGAAAGAAACTCAGTGGTTGCATGACAGGTCCACATTGCACTGAAATAGCTGTCATAGATGTGGAAGCCCAGGGTGACATTGGGTAAGATCTGGCGGTTTTCATTGATCTCCTTTACTGCAAAGGCCAAGGCCAAGACATGCTGGTAATGTTTAGTCAGAAAGCTACAATGACAATGACAGGTTATCTCAAAGGGGAATTTCACTCTTGATAAAACAATTACTGCTGTTTTGCATGCCACCAAGATCATCTGCTTTGGAGTAGGACACCAATACCGCCCCATTGCTGCAGATTATTCATTTATCAGATTTATTTAAATTAGCATCTTGGACAATAATATGATGGACAAAATGGGCACACACACACACTTCAAGGAAGTGTGCAGAAAGAGCTGTTTCATTTTTCTGCATAGCATTGGGTACATTGCATGCGTAGGTGCTTGCTGAGCCATTCATGAAACATGCACATCCATGTCCAAAGGAAAGTTGAGATGTGGTTTTGATGGGGATGGGCTACCATTAGAATATTAAAATGAATTCCACCCTCCCCACAAGTTTAAGTCCATGTGTTGCATTTCAAGGCAGGCACACAAGGAAGGAGCCATTCTTTGAAGAGGTTGATGCTCTGTGTAGTTACTTAGCTAAAGGAAAGGAAATGCATGTTCACCATGATTTCCTTCCACATTTCCAGAATGTAGGGTTTGTTTGTTTTTTAACTACAGTATTGTTCTTTATTACTATTTCAATGGAGGGGATATATCTCAGATATAGCTTGGAATTCATTTTTGTGGGGAGAAACAAGACAATTGGAAATACCATTCCAGTTCCCGTCTGTACAGATTATTCTTGCTGCTAGTCTCCTAAACTAATGTATTTACGGAACAGCTGTAATCCAGTGGGAAGGAGCAGTGGGAGGGAGAATGAACTAGAATATTGCGCAGAAGCATTTTTCATAGAATCATAGAGTTGGAAGGGACCCTGAGGATCATCTAGCCCAACCCCCTGTAATGCAGGAATATGCAGCTCTCCTATATGGGGATCTAACCTGCGACCTTGGCACAGTACTGTGCTCTAACCAACATAGTTGGAAGGCTGGAACTCGGAACACGACCCCTCCATATTTCTGGCACAATTTGTTGTAAACACCACATGCCAGATGATATATTTCCTAAAATGTTCTTTACACATTTTTTCCCCTTACACAAAAGCAAATAACCAACAAGGGAGCATCCTTACACAGGTTCTCGATTCTGTTGCTGAATGGGGTCTTTTTTGAAAGTTTTCTCTTCAGAAAGCAGGATCATTTGAGAAGCAATGCCTCCGATGATGAAATCACCTGGTTGATAATATTTGTGAGGAATAGGGATGGGCTCACTGAAGGCACATTTAAGAGGACGCACCCGGCACACTGCAGGAGGAAGCAGCGCTGCTAGCAACACTGCTAATATCACCATGCTGAGGGCAATTTTGCCCCCTTGGCAGAAATGTCCTTTGTTGTCACATTATCTCAGCCAGGTTTTGAACAGCTGCTCCTTGAGTCCTCAGTTATAAAATGTAACATTACTGAGATGTGATTGATGCCCTTCTTAGCCCCTACGTCCAATTCAGAATGCAGCACATTTAAAAAATGATCATCCAGTCTTAATCACAAACTGAGCTAGTGACCACTGGAGCTTCAGGGTGACATATATTAAATTAACATTAATCACAATCATTTTGATAATTACAAAGGAAGCCAGTAATTTCCTAGTTATGGGCTCACTGTAGCACTACTGAAGAAAACATGTTTGCCACATCTCAAATCTCCGTATCCTCTTCCTATTGGCCCAGCTAAGTTTGTGTGGCAGTGGAATGACAAATGCAAGGGAAGACCATTGGAAATTTGAAATGTTTGGTTGGGAGTCAGATCAACAGTTATTACAGAGTTAGCAATTTAGACACTGAGGGAACTCTGCACCAGCCATCTCCAATATCTCCATCTCACCCAAATCTTGGTAAAGGGAAACATTGCTGATTTGCAGATCCTACAGTGGTTGTTGGAGAACCTAAGACACTTATCAACAATGCCCAGCTTAAAAGTGTTGTTCAGACATTCAAAACTCTCACTATCCCTAACTCTGGTGCAAACCGTATATTGTATTTCCCCTCCTCCGTATTGTTACTGACGTCTATTTTAATTACAGTGGTACGGTACCTCGGGTTAAGTACTTAATTTGTTCTGGAGGTCCGTTCTTAACCTGAAACTGTTCTTAACCTGAAGCACCACTTTAGCTAATGGGGCCTCCCGCTGCTATCGTGCCGCCACCACACGATTTCTGTTCTGATCCTGAAGCAAAGTTCTTAACCTGAGGTACTATTTCTGGGTTGGTGGAGTCTGTAACCCTAGGTACCACTGTATAATCAGATACCTAGAATTAGAATTAATTACAAAAAGTTATAATCAGTGGCAACTGATACCATTGTGAGTTGCCAGGCCTGCAATTTTTAACCTTCTTGTTTTCATCGCAGTAGGGCTTCTACAGTGCTTATTCAGTGTGCATCGTTCCATTGTAATTAATTAATTCATTAATATTTTGAGACATATTTGGACAGGGGAAGACCATCCATGTAAGGGGCCCCAAGTATGATTTTCAGACAAGAGTGATTCCATATATAAAGCTTACCACAAGACATAATTTTTTGAATTTGTGTATCCCTTGTCAACAAGCTACCGGTAAATACAGTGTTTTAAAATGTACATGGAACACTTGCTTCCAGTTGCATGCAGTTCTCCTCTCTGCTAAAATCAATTTAACTTTTCAATATCCAAAACACTTTATCCCCTCCCTCTAGATTAAAAGAACAAAAGTATTCCAACCAATAGATGGCACAGTGGTTGAAAACCAATGGATTATGGCTTTAGTGCAGCTAGCATGAGTTTAATACAAAGCATACCCCTCATGAAGTATCTGTGACCCTGGTACAAGCTCCTATCTAAGACATGACCTGGAAGGTATAGCAAATACCTGACCCTTAACAGTAGCAGTAAAGATCAGCGTACAAATCCTTGTATTTACAAGAAAGTTTAATTGTCACTTTCCTGTATGCAGGAACCAGACTTCAGACAGACAATGAAATTCTGTTTCAAAAGTGAATTTATGAATCTCATGCTTTACTTGACCACAAACCAAGGAATGAGTGAGAGACACTTTGCCTTGAAGGGGAGAACTTTACTTTTTCAAAAGGCACAGATCTCAAATCCCTCACATTGTGTGCTGCTTGCTTCTGGATCAGGAATACCGCTCCATTTTCATTTAGTGGGAGTCTGCAGCACACAACTACACTCAGTGTCTAGTTAGGGACTCTCTTTGCTCTTTAGGATTAAGGTGTCTTTACTTGCTGTATGAAGCAGCATCAATCTGCATTGCCTCTTTTCATTTCCATGTAATAAACCAATATTTCCCTACTTCCTACTGTGACAAGTTCTTTTTGTTTTTGTTAAAATGATAATTCTAGTCACATATTGACTCCACACAAAAGGTACTAATCCTCTTGGACCTGGGCATTGAGTTGATGTGTGTGGTGTACAAGCGTGTTTGTTCAGTCATATATCTCATAACACTCTTTTTACCTTCTGCCCAGTTATGAAGACATCATCCCCTCCTCTTCTTCAGACAGTTGCATACTCCTGCTTTAACCGTTAACCCAATTTCCATGTCTCCCATTCCCTCCTTTTTTGCAATCCCTTTTGTTTCCCCTTTTTCACATTCACTCTCTGTTCCCTTTCACCTTCTTTCTTACTTAAGGTATCTCAACTCTTCCTTAAACACAGATCACCCCATTTCAGTCTCTACTCTGCCGCCTGCTATGCACATGAACTCTACTACATAAAGGCTTTCACTTGTGGGGTGTGTGTGAGGACCTCATTATTAGCATTCAACTCCCAACAAACTCTGTTTTAGTATTATTATTTTTAATTACAAATATGACAAAGGCTGATACACAAAGATGAAGGAAAATATACGGTATGGTGGTTGAGTTGGTGCCGTAAATGTACACCCATAGCAGTGGTTTTTAAAAACAAATAAAAGAAAAAGAAATGGCAAAAGCAAAGCAAAATATCCCTCAGTTCAATCGTGCTGGTACTGTTTCCATTATTCTACCCTCCTTGTGAAGCCTGGGCATTTCATGCTAACAGTTCTTCCCTGAGAACTCTTCTTTTCTATAAGTGTTTCCTTACAAAGTTTGAAACGCTTTTCTTTAATGACTTGGGACCACTGTTTTCTGAAGCATTGCTTTTCTCTGATGGCTTTGGACCACTGTTTTCTGAAGCATTATTTTTTCTCTGATGGCTTTGGACCACTGTTTTCTGAAGCATTGCTTTTCTCTGATGGCTTTGGACCACTGTTTTCTGAAGCATTGCTTTTCTCTGATGGCTTTGGACCACTGTTTTCTGAAGCATTGCTTTTCTCTGATGGCTTTGGACCACTGTTTTCTGAAGCATTGCTTTTTTCTGATGGCTTTGGACCACTGTTTTCTGAAGCATTGCTTTTCTTTGATGGCTTTGGACCACTGTTTTCTGAAGCACTGCCACAATCTAAAAATGGGTACAATTTGTCCCTGGATTTAATGGGGATAGAATCTATAAGGAAATAGGCACCTCTGGAGTTATAAAATGAGATTTCCCAATTTTCTTGATCCAGTAACAAACCAATCACTGAATAAGACACATTTTGCTTCTTTTCAATCTCTTTCTCACATGGACTGGAAAAGAATTTTCCTTGGCTGCTTTTGAGAGCCCAGCAGCCTTCCTGAAAGGGTTTATCAACCTTTTTCTTTCGGAATTTGTCCCTTTCAGCCTTAGTCAGCACCCCCAGCTCCCAGTCCAACCTCTCTCCTACTTCCACCTCCCAGTAGTGTTTCCCAGCAGCATAACCTTTCCCCAGAAAAATCCAAGTTCCCATAGCAGTTTCTTCTTTCTCTGGGGGGAGAGTTTGAAGGCTGGCTCTTTTTTTATCCTTACTGATGCTGATTTCTGGATGTTTATAATATGAATCCAAAGTGACAGCAACTATAAGGGAAGCAATCATAGGGAGAAAGGAAACAATTTTTAGTTCAGGAGCAGTAGATGCTGCAATCTGCTGTAGAAAACACATTTTATTTCATAGCTGACCAATTATAGTTACTGTACAACTTGGATACAGAAACTTCATTTGTTTGTCTATATAGAAATGTCAACACACTTGTGTAGGAACTCAGTACAATAAGAGGACATGGCTATAGAGGTGTCATGATCACCTCTTTCCCTGTTTCAGAATGTTTTGTTTTTGTTTTTACATTGTGGATCTGTTTTGTGCCCTGGGCTCTTTTGAGATTAATTAATAATAATACACATGAGAAAGAGCTCAAGTGCTGACTTCTCTATACAGACAGCCACATGCAAAGTACAGTCCTAAAGAAATCTGTTAGCTCCATTCCTCTCTGGTCTGTGTGCATGTCAGCTCTGCACTTCCATACAACTAGAGCAAGGATAGGACAGTTTTAGTCTTCCTGAAGTTGAATTCTGATTGCCTCAGAATTAATTAAAACTATGAAAGCACAAATTGAATTAATCCATTGCTACTGTGATGTTTTCATATGAAAAAGGACCACAAGTGAAAAGTCACTGAGTGATGACATTTGAGTCATGTATGCACATCCATGCATTAAGCCTAATCATGACAGTTTACTTACCTGCATATTGCTGAGCTCTTCTAACCTCTACAAGCAGAAGAGAAAATTGATCAGTCATAGAGATCAGAGAAACATCTATGAAACAAGTGAACAGCCCAGAATATTTCAGAATTGAATAAAGTGATTTAAACCCAATTAACATACTAGAAAACAGTACTTCAGTACAGAACAATCATTGCCTTACCTAGCTCATTGGTGAGATGACCTGAAGTGAAATATTATTCCAATTAGTGATATCATTGTCAAAAATATATGGGGTTGCGCATCATGACAAACTTAGTTCACATCCTCAACTTATATTTATTCCATGACTACTCCTAAAGCAGCTTGGGTACTGCAGTTTTTTAAGGATGCTGAGAGCTGTTAGGAGATGCCTTATAGAGCTACAATTCCCACGGTGGTTTAACCATCAATCCTCTGGAAAGTGCAGCTCTGTGTGTGTGGGGGGGGAAAATAAATAATGATAATAATGATGATGATGATGATAATAATAATAATAATAATAATAATAATAATAATAATAATAATTTATTTATTTATTTATTTATTTATTTATTTATACCCTGCCCATCTGGCTGAATTTCCCCAGCCACTCTGGGCGGCTCCCAATCAAGTGTTAAAAACAATACAGCATTAAACATGTAAAACTTCCCTAAACAGGGCTGCCTTCAGAGGTCTTTTAAAAATAGGATAGCTGCTTATTTCCTTGACATCTGATGGGAAGGCATTCCACAGGGCGGGC